CCATTAAGGAGGTGGAGTTTGAATTATGAGATCTCTAAATGTCTGTTTGAATGCATTTGTAGTCAGCTATTTTGTGGAAATGACTTAGGACTGCCATCTCTTTTTCCCCAGACACAGTAATCTTTAACTGAGGCAGGGCAAACATATTGAATATAGTCCTGTCTGTCTTCAAAATACTGTAGGTATGTGAATTTTTCCACTGCAGATGAAGGTGAATTTGCAATGAATATTTAATATATGCATACATGTGCAGGTCTCAAATAATCAAATATGCTATGAGAGAAAATCATACAGAACTTTATCACAAAACCATAAATCCTCACATTGGTGGAGTGGATATAGATGGTCAAATGCATAGGAGATGGCTTTAATGTTTACAGTACAGTATTGTATTGCTGTAAATCAGTCATATACACTGTTAGTTCTTTGAGGTAGAGCTGCAACTCCTAGCATTCCAAACCATTGACAATGATGTCTGAGGCCACTGGGAATTACAGTTCCCAACTATTATCAGTATTAGTATTAGTATAATTAGTATCCAGCTCTTTTCCTAGAACCGGGACTCAGAGCGGCTTCACGGTATTAAAAAACAATACAATCACAAAACAATGAAAGGCTCCCCTACTTCCCATCTCTTTTGTAAATGGTGCTACAGTACATGAAATTAGAAAAGAAGCCACAGACATCTAGGTGTGTTCTGATAATGCAATATCAGAAATAATTTCCCCTTTGGAATGATTCTTAAAAATTAGTACCAAAACTTTATCACTAGGCAAAATAAATATGACACAAAATAAATATGACATAAGATAATTTTACTTGTCACAAAATTATACCTTCTTGGCAAAGTCATTAATTTAAGATGAAAACCTGCTCATTTGCTTCCAAAAGGGATAGGTTAATATCTATAAAAAGAAAGTATTTGTTAACAATAGACAGAAGCATAAATATGTAAGTCTGTACATTATGAAAAGTGGCTTCTTCACTCCTAGGACATTATCACACGGGGGAAATCTGCTGGTTAATCCACACAAATCCCAACCAGAAACTGGATTTGTGCCTCAGGATTTCACATGACATTGCACAGAAATTGGACAGAAACTGGACAGAAACTGGTGTTATCAGAGATCTTTTGAAATTCGGTAGTTTTGAGGAAATGCATTTGCAAAATTACAGTAATTTTGCATTTATCGTAATGTGAAAAGCAAATGAGCATTTGGGACCATTTCCCTGCTTTTTCCCATGGTTCCACGGCGAGCATTCCTCTATCTGCGCATGTGCAAGAAGATAATTTCTAGTACATTTATGGGCTTTATCACTTGTGTGTGAGCGTTAAATGCGCTTACGGTAATTTTGCAATTAAGGTAATTACATGTGAAAGCCATTTGCGGAATCAAGGTTTATTTTCGGTTTATTTTTGGAATGCCTCATTTCCACTTTATTATCGCTTTCTGGCCCACATGTGATAACGTCCATAGATATCACTGAATACCTGGTTTTACAACCAAGATTACAACAAAGAAGACCACCTGTGTTTCTGACAATTGATTCCTTGCCAATTTTAAGCTATTTTCATCCAGGAAGGTTCACTACTAGAGTAACCCCAAAAAGACCATTTCTAAATTATGAACAGATTGGAAGGGTGAGGTATATCTATATCGTGGGAAATGAGTCTGCTTGTGTAACAAACCCCCTAAGCAGATGGCTTAAAGGGCCGTCTTTGGCGCAGGGAAGGGGAGGGGCAGCCACACACTCGGCACCCCAACCCCCTCCCGAGGTTGTACTCAGAGTAGCCGGCCCTCCGCATGACCGGCGCTCCGAGGAGGACCTCCTGCCGCAGCGGTCAGACACGCTGCAGCAGAAGAGTCACTGAAAGTGCACCGCAGCCTTTTGCGGCGCACTTTCGGTGACTTATGAAAGGAGCTCTAATTTAGCTCTCCTTTCAGGGGTGGCGAAGCTGCGCCACAGGATCGAGGCATGGGGATGCCTCGGTCCCGTGGCACAGCTTCCCAGGGCGGCCCACGGCCACCCATCTGCTTAGCCCCAAAGTGTAGGGAAGGAATCTAGACATTAGCATCTGCATCTAGATTGTTCCTCCTACTTTGACACTGACTATCCAACCTAAAGACATGTGGGAGGGGTACCATATGTGGCTTGAATATCCAGTGAACAATTTTATAATGCCCACCTTTTATAAAATGTATGCCATATATATTACATATAACAGTGCAGTTAGATTATTGGTGTAACATGCTAGGACAAAAAATGTTCCATGTCTCTTGTACTTTTTTCTGTTTTAGCAAACCATGATGCAACAAAGCAGATGCAACTTTTTATCAACAGTTTGTCCCCATCTGGGGAAAGCTGGAATTTGGGGAGTGGGGCATTGGAATTAATTAAGGTTAGAAGATACTTGTATATTTGTAAAATTGTATATTTTATATGCACATCTATTTATACAATAGTTGTATGTTTTGTTTTATTTCCTGCTTTTCTTTTAATTTTATTACACTTTGTTTTCTGGCTTCCCTGTGCATTCTGACCTAATAGTTTTTGGCCACAAACACTCAGACAGTTGAAATCCACAAACACTTGGACAACTTCAACAGGAAAGAAGAAACCCTTAAAGTAAACAAGGTTTGGCTACCAGTCCTACAAAATAAGAAAATCAGCACTCAACAAATGCAAATGGGAAACCAACCAGGGTCAGGGGCTTTCCCAGCAGACAATAGCAGACAATATCCTTGTTTGCATATTCTCCCACCCTGAAGCCATGCCCTTAATAACAGAACAAAACCTATTCAACACAGAACAATACACAGTTTACATGGGAATCACCCCTCCCTACCCAGGGTCTCACAGTATATATAGACCCACTCTCTTCCATTGCAGTATTCTCTGAAGATGCCAGCCACAGATGCTGGTGAAACGTCAGAAAGAAACTCTTCTAGAACATGGCCACACAACCTGAAAAACCCACAAAAAACTATGGATGCCGGCCATGAAAGCCTACAACTTCTTTTTAAATAGCTGTACTGTATAACCTGGTAATGAGTTTGTTTCCTTACACAGCAAACAATCACATCTTGGGAGATTTCTGGTATGGGCTACCTTCAAATTCAGATGGTACAATCTATCAATTTCCCAGGGAAAGAGTTGATCTGATTCTTCTATAAATGCTGCAAGTAAAGGGGTTAAAGTTGCATATAAGTCCTCATCTTCTTTCTGTGGAATTCCTCTCAGTTTAAAACAAGATTCCTGACTTCTGATCTCCAATCTTATTACATTCTTCATCTCTCTCCTTGATTACCTTTTCAAGTTTCATCTGTGAAACTTTGAAATCTCTTTCCAATTTTCTCTACTTTTTCTGTTACTTTCCCCATCTGTTTTGTAACGAACTCCAAATTTTGCTTTAAGTCTTTTAATTCTTCTCTCAGTTCCAATTTGGAATTTCATATCATTCCTAATTTTTTCATTGTCCTCTTGGATACCTGCACATATTTTTTTATCTCCTCCAAAAGAGATTCGTTCCAGTCTGCATATTTTGTTTCTATACATCAAGGGTCTTCTTTGGTTTAGACTGGGAATCAGTGTTTAAATTGCAGCTTTTTTACCAGGAGTCATCTTTCCTTATTTCCCCTTTTCCTTTTTCTCTCTTTCTCTGACAGCTCTAATGGGTACTCTCTTTCTTTCTTGTTTTGTTATTTATCAAGCTGTGGATTACCCCTTCAATACTTTCCAAATATGTTCAAAACAAGAGATAGGGTATTCGCAACCTTCTCTGGCAAGAGTTCAGGCAACAGGAAAACGGAAGGGAGGAATACACTTCTACTGTCTGGCATTTTCAAGGTCACAGTTCTTTATCTAGTGCTGAGGCTTTCCTATATTCTTAGCCAGGCAATTACACAGTCCAAACTCGATAATCCCACATTTAATACATTGCAGTCCTCTACTCTTTGGGGTCACAATCTTCTCAAAATTCTTTAGCTTTAGCTTATTTTAGCTTTAGCTTATTTTCTTCCTTTCCCCTTTTAATTGAAACCAAGCATATCGCTGGGAAGACAGCACACTTCACCATCCACAAACATCCTCTAAATTATATATGTCTCTCACTTTCATACTTCTTCCACTCCACAAACAAAAATATTACAATTTCTGCCTCTTGTAATATTTACTTCTCTCTTAACTCAAAAATTAGGCTTATTAGCACTCAGCTCAAACACTTACTGATATTAACTGGTAGCTTTCGCTTTCATGTTCTCCCTTTGGGCCTTTGCAGACTGCCAGAAATAGTGCACATTAAATTGAGGCACTGCCCTGGCTCAGTGCTAGGGAATCATGGGAATTGTGTTTTTTTCTGAGACATTGAGCCTTCTTTGTCAGAGACCTCTGGTGCCACAATAAATTACAGTTCCCATGATTCCCTAGCACTGAGCCAGGGCAGTGCCTCAATTTAATGTGCACTATTTCTGGCAGTCTGCAAAGGCCCTGAGTTATCTGTCCTTTGTACTTACAAGTCTTGACAGATAAGTTTGAGTGTAGGAAGAAAAAAAGAGGTTGGATTCTAGCTGTTTAATACATTGTTTCCTTCACCAGCATTTCTTTGAAAAGGCAACATTGCTACAGCAGTCAAATTGCAGCTTGCCACAGACATGACTTGCCCATCGCCTCCCTTGGGAAATCCGCTTCTCCAATCTTCATTCTTTTTACCTTATTTTTAAAAACTTCTTTCTTCATTTTGGTTTATTCAAGTAGCAAAATTGAGGGACTCTCTGCTTCCCCTTTATCGGGGGGGGGGGCACACCTCTCTGGGGATGTCAGAGAGGGACTTATCCCCGTGGTAAGCAGTTACCAGCCAGAGTCTCCTCTAGATGACAACCTCCATAACTGCCATGTGTGCTATCATGGGATTTTCATGGCAAGATTTGATTAGAGGAACTTTGCTTTTGCCTTCCTCTGAGAAAGTGTGACTTGCCCAAGGTTACCTCAGTGGGTTTCTGTGACAGAGCAGAGATTCAAACCCTGGTCTCCAGTGTCATAGCCCAACTCTCAAACCACTATGCCATGCTGTCTCTGACTTTAAAATAAACAGTTTTATATGTATTGCTGCTACTGTTTCAACAGTTGGACAAGCTAGCTATGTCTCTTTTTCATCTCCCAAAAGTTTCTGTTGTGTATTGATCTTAGATTTAAGAGTTGTGATCATCAGAGGGTACTCAGGCATATTTATTTGTCATTGGCGTGGAATAAAAAATTATTCATAATTTGATCCCCTTACAACTTCAGCAAAATAATACATCCTGTATGCATTCTGTCAGGGATAATTAGCCAGGTTGACATTATAATGCCCCCCATCACATCTAATTTTTGTGTTGGTGTTTTTTTCAAAATGCAACAAAATGTTTCATTCATAACCAAGATTCTGGTTTGAAATAGTTTTAATAATGGATATTTATCTTCTGGAATAGATGTTTTGCTGTGCATTCAATGTGCATTCAACGACAATGGAGTCGTTTCCTTGTGTCCCACTTAAGACCTGTGAAGTGGATCCAACAGGGCGCTGCATGTTATAAAACGTAATTCAGGTAAGTTCATTTTAATTGAGATATGATTGTTTTAATTTGTCTTCATGTCACTATACCACTATAACTCATCTCTTTCCCAGGGGCATCACTGGGTGCTGTGGTGGGAGGGGGTCCAGGCCACACTAGTCACTCCATCACTGCTCCCCAAACATCTGCCTTTGGGCAGAAACAAGCTGTGGCTTTTGCCTGCATCCCTTTAAAAAGCTGAAGGGATGATGTGACTGGGGCGAGGCTCAATGGGAAGAGAAATGAAAGGCCCTAGAATTTTTTTTGAAAATTAAGAAATACAGAAGAGTCATATTTTACATGCTCACGGCTGCTAGACTAATCTATGCTAAATATTGGAAAATTAATAAGGAAATTCAAATAGATGAATGGTTATTAAAGCTTATGGATATAATGGAAATGGATCTGTTAGCTTATGAAATAGAAGAAAAGACAGAAGATAGAAGAAAGGTGTGGAAGAAAGGATATTATCTGAAAAAAAGGTGGAGCGATATTTTGTATATAAAAAAGATGGAAGGTTGAGTACTCACAAAGATTGTGTGAATAGTAGATAGTGTTGATATAATCAGTTATAATTGGTAGTAATCTGAAGGTATTTAAGAAATGAGAAATAAAGAGGAAGCAGAGTTAAATGAGTATAACTTGTTGTTTCAAATCTGATAGTACAAGATTAAACTGTGACAAGAAAAAAAAAGAAAAAGGAAATCAGCAAGAGGAAGTAACATAAGTTTTGTTTTGTCTGTTTATGTATTATGTATTATTATGTATTGTATTTGTTCATGTTATGTTTATGCTGTTAGTTATGTGTGCTCATTTATTTGATTGTTTGTTTTGAAGTATGTTTATTAAATTAAATACATGCTTAAAATATATTTTTTTAAAAAAATTAAAAATTAAAGATAATTTTTTTTAAAAAAAGTTTAATTTTTTTATTCTTAAAAAATCTTTAAAAACATGTGTTACCAATTTTTCACTTTAACCACATGAAACAATGTACATGTAAATACATTTAGGCTGTGTATATGATATTGCAATTTAAAGTAACAGTGCATTACTTGTTGCATGCTTATTAATTTTCTATCACTTACTTTTAATTTTTAGGAGAAGAGACACCTAGACGCAATAGTAGAATAGATTTCTGTCAAAATTGAAAATTCCATGATGCTGCTTCTCATTACACCAGTAAGATATCTTTTCCTTTCTCCGATACCTTATTTTTGAAAGGTAACTTTAACACATTCTAGTTACGCCCCCCCTCCACACACACATACACACACACCAAGCTAACTAGTTACAGGAAAAAACATTAGTGGTCCTTCATTATTTTTGAGCAACAACTCTTCTATATATGAAATATATTTTATTCTAAGCTGTCTTCATTCCCACCACTGAAACTGGAAGACAGCCTCATCTCACCAGCAGCTGCTCCTGCCACCCCACAGCCATTCTGGGTCTGATAGAACTTCTGGCAGGGTGGTGAAAGGAGACTCTTTACCGCTTAGCCAACAGAGTCCCCAGACCTAGTAGGAAGCTCCTTACCACTAATGTACCAGGTGACACCCCCCTCCCTGAAGTGTCACCCAATGTGGTGTGAACCTCCCATACCCCCCAGTGATGTCTCTGGCAATAAACCAATATGGTAAAAATACATCAATATTACTAGCTGTGTAGATGCTATCAAAAAAGCAACAACAGCAAGAAACAAAAGAAAATAAATCTGAACACAAGCATTTAGAAAAATTGATTGGACTAGGCTCCCAAATTGTATTAACACAGGGCTTGGGTGTTCAAATATAAATAGTACAAATATTTCCATTCCAGTTCTTTAAATATTAGAAACATGTCTATTCTTGAAGCTGATTTGTGGGGTTCAGAATAATGTGTATTCTCTGGCATTACAATATTTTTGTCTCCATTGCTCTATTAAGGTCAAATTTTCCATCATATTACAAGAAAATTGGGGTAGTTTCCCTTGATTTTCTTTTATCTTCTTTGTTGAATAGTTGGTTTTAGTACCCTATTCCAGTCTCCCATCAGTATATGCTGGTTTTAATTCAAATCTAGAAGGGTTGATATTCATTTTATTTCATAAAACTTTCCTTTATTTTTTAATGGTACATATATTCCTACAATCAACATATTTTCCCTTATAACTGAACTTCTACTGCAATGAATCTTACTGTTGTGTTTTGCAATTTCTTTTGTTGGTATATGTTTTGAAACATTTAAAGCAATTCTGCTTTTCTTTTTATTCCTCACTGCAATGAAGCATTTGACTAATTTAGGGTTTCTTAAATAGCAATAGCAATAACAATAGCAAATACATTTCTATACCACCTATCAGTTCACTTAAGCACTCCCTAAGCAGTTTACAATGTGTAAGCTAATTGCCCCCAACAATCTGGGTACTCATTTTAGCGACCTCACAAGGATGCAAGCCTGAGTTGAGCCTGAGCCCTTTGGCTGGGATTGAACTCACAACCTTATAGTTTGCGAGTGAGTGGCTGCAGTACAGGCATTTAACCCCTGTGCCAACAGGGCTCTTATGAATATCTCTCATCTTGCTGCCTTATGTGTGTTTCCTGGACACATATAATTTTGGCCTTTGATTTTTCAAGTATATTGTTTCCTTTTACAGGGAATTTATACCCCTAACATTCCATAATATTCATTTCATTTTATTTTCTCTTTTCAATCTTTATATTTGTTCTGAACTGTCTTTTGGTATGTCTTCTCTTGATCTTAAATATCCTTCATCTATGCCTTCTTCTTCCTCTAACAATTCTTCTCCAAATTCTCCCTTCTGTTGTTGTCCATCATGATAATGATCATGATCCTCCTCCTCTTCCTCCTCCTCCTCTCTTGTCTCTTAATTTCTTTTTGATTGTTTACCATGTCCTACCCTTCTCTTTGTCTTAATTTCCATTGTTGTCCTTTTTCTTTATTTTCCTTTCTTTCTTTTGCAATCTTTCCCCAGAATTATTTTGCCTTCTCCACTGTATTCACTTTATAAATCTTATGATTCCAGGTGAATGAGATCCCCTCTATTGGTCCCCATCTATATCTTACCCCTTTGGCTTGTAAATATCTTGCTAGGATACATAGTTTCTTCTCTTCTTTAATATCAAAGCAGGTACATATATAAAAATTAATTTCTATGTCCTCAATTTTTAATTTCCTTTCAGATCTCTTTTGAATTATCTGATCTCTAATTCTTTCTTTAGTGAAGTATATCACTATATTTCTCAGCAGGTTCTTTTTCTTTGCCATAGAGGAGTTTACACAGAATTTTTAAAATCAATTTCAGTATCAAACTTTTCTCTTGATAAACCCATCAAATCAGCCAAAAATGGGATTAATCTTTCATATACATTTTTACTATATTGTTCTTTTACATGGGTTTTTAACAAGGTACTTTCTGAGGGGGAAGCCCACATTCTTATTTCAGTGCCTACTTAAGATTTTTCAATTAAGACACTGAGGGAGCTGCTGCTGTCACCTGCAACAACTGTGGGATGCTTGTCTTTTTGCCTATATGTGTGGGGAACCTCACCTGCACCAAGTGCAAATTGGTAGCACTCTTGGAAGAGAAAGTCAACCAGTCAACATTTCAGCATATTAGGAAGCAAGAAGTTTTCCTGGCAAGAACAGAATGGGTAGTTTTGAATGGGGAATACAAAAAGGACATTTCTGGGGAGAAGGTCACTTCACATACACAGGAGGTAGATAGTTGGAGGAATGTCCTTTTAACTCAAAACATTTTTCTTTCACTTACTTCTCTTAGTAAATTTGCTTTGATTTCTTATCTGTGTACTATTGTTAAATCTCTTATTGTTTCCAGATCTTTAGCTTTCTCCTGAAGTGTTCCTATTTTATTATATATTTCATCCACTTCATCTGTTACTTTATTCAATGTTTTCTTTAGCTCATCAATTTCTCTTTTAAAATCCTATCTTATTTCTCTCCTTAAGTCCTTCAGCTTTTGATGTATCTCTAACCTTATCCTGTGATTTTCAGAATTTTTATGTTTGGGTCAGCCATTTTAACATTTCATTCTGTTGAAATTCTCCTTGCTTGAGCTTGAGCTTGTATCTGTGCCCGCACTTGTGTTGCCTTTCTTATGCCTGTTGCCATTTCCATGTAATTTTCCTTCTCGCCAGCAGGTGTCCTACTTGATATCATCATCATCATCATCATCATCATCATCAATTCTTCAATGTCACTGTTATGTTCTGTTCCTTTATCTTGCTTTTCTCACAGCTGTGCACAATTTCCTAGCTATGTACTTAAACAAATTTGCCTTCAATCTTAAGTTGTGCACAGCCTGTTATCTTATTTACAGTCTGCCCTCATTATCCACAGATTTGCTACTGCTGATTTGAGCATCTGTGGACTGAAATAAAGGAACTTTTTAAAACATATAACTGATGGCAGCCAGGCTAAGAAGCAGTCTCATGACAGGGGGGGAGGCTTTGGCAGGA